TAGTGCCTATTTATGATGGCACTTGATGTTATACTTAATCAAATGAAAAGAGAAATGTGACCACATTCAAGGCTTGGGGCTTTCAAGTGAAGAAAAATGAGCCATAATGAAATAACTCATCTTTAATATACCATCTTTGCTGCAAGGCTCAGCTCAGAAACAGGTGGCCCAACTCCTGAACTCTCCTACTACTGCCAAAAAAGATAAAGCCAAATATGCAAAAATTAAGATCCAAGGTGTAAATCAGTACAGATACCAAACAAGTTAGCAGAATGAACTCAATTAACAGTAAGCAAAAACTGAAATTATAGCCCATGCTTTATTCTCTAAAATAAGGAGAATGACAAATAATCAAAGACAAACCAAAATACTCATTTTAAGATCAATTCCTATCTGAATCATCAAACCCAATACATGGCTTGCTAATAAGCAGCAAAATGGACTTCCTATTACCTCCTCCCCCTACCAAGTCCACATGCAAACAAGCAGGAAAGGAGCCAAAGAAAGGCTGAAGAGAGAAGGACCTGGAAAAAAGTCATGCAAAATCAACCACAGCACAGCACTTGGGAACTGTCTCTATTCAGAATCTTCACCTCACACTGTTTGGAATTTTAAAAGCCAAATATCTAATAAAGAGCATGTAGCTTCTTTGACCTGTTTTGTAGATGAAAAAAAGAAGCAAATCTGGAAACCTGTACTTTTGAGTTTCTTGGCTCTGGCCATCTTATTCTGATATTAAAAAAAAAAAAAAAAAAAAAAAAAAAAAAAAAAAACAGAAAGCCCGGAACAGTGATGCACGCCTCCAATCCCAGCTACTTGGGAAAAGTGAGCCAGGAAGATCCTAAGTTTGAGACCAGCATGAGCAAAACAAACAAACAAAAAAACAAATAAACACTAAGACTCTTGTCTCCAAAAATAAAACAAAACAGAAAACCTTCCTGGTGAGTTACAAATGCACAAGCAAAACAGACAATGTTTACCTTACACTGAGCTGAACCTTCCTACAAGTTTGTTTTTTCCCTTTTGTTTTGTTTTTTGGTACCAGAGATCAAACTCAGGACCTTGCACTTGCAAGGCAGGCAGCAGAACCACTGAGCTAAATCCCCGGCCCCATACAAAAGTTTATACTCAGGCTGAATCTTGATTAACATATTCACTCATTCACAAGACACAGCGGTGTTTCTTTTTTGGAGGGGGGTCATGTTAGAAGGAACTGAAAATAATATAGACTTCTGAAATATACTAGCAGTATGTAAGACTGCAATTCTCCCAAGGGCATAAAAATAGAAAAAAAATGAAGGTCTAAGGACTTCAGCAGCAATGACACAAAACTGCAAAGTATGCTGGGAGCACATGCCTAAAGACAGAACTGGGATTCTGTCTCCTGGACCAGCTGAAGCTGGGTAACCTAGGACAGTGCATCTTCCAAAAAAAGAAAGTAGAAGTCAAGATTAACTAAAGATGTATACTTTTAATCTTAACACTCTGGAAGACTCAAGCAGGAGGATTCTGAGTTTGTGCCTAGCCTCCTGGGCAACCTAGCAAAACCATCTCAAAATACAAAATTAAAATGTACCTTAGTATGAAGGCCCTGGTTTTAATTCCCAGTATGGGGGTGGGAGTGGGGCCTGCAAAGATACAACACTAACCCACAGCAACTAAGAAAGATATGGATTCCAATGAAGTGCTATTACAGCCAACCAAGGGACCAACAAGGTCTTCTGAGCACAGAGAAATAGGCTGTCATGACAGCTGTCAAGCTACATGTAACTATCTAAAATATGACTGTCATTTTCCACAGGGCTAACTTCTCATTCCTGAAGCATCCCTCATCCTTTCTCCAGGACTGTGTCCTAAGACTTCATGTATTTCTGATAATTACATGAGCAAAATAACTAGGATGGACAGGAGTTTTATAAAGTCAACAGGATGTGGAAGTAAGAGCATATTAAAAGAAAAAACAATAAATCCAAGAGTAGTGAGTGATACAGTCATGTATTTTTTCTTTTAAGACAGTAGCAATGGTAAATCTAGAGAAAACTGAGTCTCTGGGGAGATGATGACAAGTCAAAAATGCTATCCAGTGAGGCAGTCATGGGCATTCTGGAGATAGAAGATGCCATGCAGCTGAGGGTAGAAGAAGCGACTAAGCGACTAAGAACAGATTTACAAAGTAAAGAAAATGAAATGACAAAGGAAGAAATGCAAAGGAAATTGTCAGGTATAATAAGGCAGGCCTTGCAAAGAATTCGTTATGAGGTGACTCTGGTATGGAGTCACCCATACCAACACCTCATTTTATTTACTTGGCCTCGACGTGGGGGAAAATCATTTTTTGTCCCTGCCAAGTGTTTCAACTCTTCTCTAGTCAACCAGTATCTTTAGCTCATTTTCAGTTTCCTAATAATCAAATGAGAAGGCTTTTAAATTGGTTTCCTTTTAAAAATCTCTGCCTCAGATTTAGGCAGGCAGCAGAACCACTGAGCTAAATCCCCGGCCCCATACAAAAGTTTATACTCAGGCTGAATCTTGATTAACATATTCACTCATTCACAAGACACAGCGGTGTTTCTTTTTTGGAGGGGGGTCATGTTAGAAGGAACTGAAAATAATATAGACTTCTGAAATATACTAGCAGTATGTAAGACTGCAATTCTCCCAAGGGCATAAAAATAGAAAAAAAATGAAGGTCTAAGGACTTCAGCAGCAATGACACAAAACTGCAAAGTATGCTGGGAGCACATGCCTAAAGACAGAACTGGGATTCTGTCTCCTGGACCAGCTGAAGCTGGGTAACCTAGGACAGTGCATCTTCCAAAAAAAGAAAGTAGAAGTCAAGATTAACTAAAGATGTATACTTTTAATCTTAACACTCTGGAAGACTCAAGCAGGAGGATTCTGAGTTTGTGCCTAGCCTCCTGGGCAACCTAGCAAAACCATCTCAAAATACAAAATTAAAATGTACCTTAGTATGAAGGCCCTGGTTTTAATTCCCAGTATGGGGGTGGGAGTGGGGCCTGCAAAGATACAACACTAACCCACAGCAACTAAGAAAGATATGGATTCCAATGAAGTGCTATTACAGCCAACCAAGGGACCAACAAGGTCTTCTGAGCACAGAGAAATAGGCTGTCATGACAGCTGTCAAGCTACATGTAACTATCTAAAATATGACTGTCATTTTCCACAGGGCTAACTTCTCATTCCTGAAGCATCCCTCATCCTTTCTCCAGGACTGTGTCCTAAGACTTCATGTATTTCTGATAATTACATGAGCAAAATAACTAGGATGGACAGGAGTTTTATAAAGTCAACAGGATGTGGAAGTAAGAGCATATTAAAAGAAAAAACAATAAATCCAAGAGTAGTGAGTGATACAGTCATGTATTTTTTCTTTTAAGACAGTAGCAATGGTAAATCTAGAGAAAACTGAGTCTCTGGGGAGATGATGACAAGTCAAAAATGCTATCCAGTGAGGCAGTCATGGGCATTCTGGAGATAGAAGATGCCATGCAGCTGAGGGTAGAAGAAGCGACTAAGCGACTAAGAACAGATTTACAAAGTAAAGAAAATGAAATGACAAAGGAAGAAATGCAAAGGAAATTGTCAGGTATAATAAGGCAGGCCTTGCAAAGAATTCGTTATGAGGTGACTCTGGTATGGAGTCACCCATACCAACACCTCATTTTATTTACTTGGCCTCGACGTGGGGGAAAATCATTTTTTGTCCCTGCCAAGTGTTTCAACTCTTCTCTAGTCAACCAGTATCTTTAGCTCATTTTCAGTTTCCTAATAATCAAATGAGAAGGCTTTTAAATTGGTTTCCTTTTAAAAATCTCTGCCTCAGATTGCTGTGAGTTCGAGACCAGCCTGGGCTACACAGTGAGTTCCAGGTCACTCTCAACTACATAGTGAGACGCTGTCTCAAAAAAAAAAATAAATAAATAAATAAATAATCTCTGCCTCTTTGTTCTTTTTCTTTGTTTTGATTTTTGAGATAGGATCTCACTTTGTAGGGCTCCTACTTTGTAGTGCAGGCCGGCCTTGAACTCATAGTGATCCTCCTAGTGCACCACACACTCAGCTTTTATTCAATTTCTGACTGTTCCTCATTGTGGATTCTGAACTGCCTCTACGATTTAAACTTACTTGTTCAAAATAAATTAATGCCAATGTACTTTTATATTCTAGTAACTCTGTTCCCTTGTCTAAGATAAAATCTTACTGACATATCAAAAGGGGACCTGCATACACAAGAGTTATCAGTTCTGAGAAATAACTTTAAAAGGATAATCTTCCCATTAAACAATGACTATCCAGGGCCAAGGATTTAGCTCAACGGCACAGTGCCTGCCTCTCAAGAGCAAGGTCCAGAGTTCGATCCCCGGTACTGCAAAAAAATAAATAAAAATAAATAATTTAACAATGACCATCCAAAATGGTACTCTCTGTTTAATTCTGTCAAGTGCTACTTTATAACAGACTAGATATTTCCAAGTATCGTCACATCGTGAGATACTGGAGGTTAGGACGATAAATTTACAAGGGGACATCTGATTGAATTATTCTTGGGGTGTTTTTTTTTGTTGTTTTTTTGTTTTTTGTTTTTTTTTGGAATGGGGATTGAACTCGGGTCCTTACGTTTGCGAGGCAGGAGCCAGAACCACGGAGCTAAATCCCCGGCCCTGACTGAATTATTCTTTAAGGAAGCTATACTAAATAGAGATCACACCTCAAATTAAAAAAAAAAAAAAAGTAACAGACTAGCGTTATCATTTGAATAGTTTTCAATTCTCTTCCTTAATACTGGTCTGTCAACTGAGGCTTCCACACATACAACCAGTGTTCTATTTCTGGGACACAGAAGTGCAGGTGGTTAGTACTTCCTTCTGCTTCTTGAAGCTAAATGATAGCTCCCTACATCTGTAACCTATTTATCAGATCAGAAAACAAGCTGGGAAAACATTTGAAACAGCAGACACTTGGATTCATACGCTTACCTGCAGCTGCACCGGTGGATGTAATAGATGCAGAGGGTAAAGCAGAGTTTTGAATAGGTCTACCTGCATTTTCAGAGGGCAGAGAGCTAGCAGAAGAAGATATACTCATCAAAGGCTCTGAGAGAAGAGATTGGTTCTTGTTCAGTATTTGGCTCCCTGAGAGAGCTGCAGATGGGTTCTGAACTTGCACTTGAACTTGAGACATGGTCACTTTCAACAAAAGTAAACAACTGCAGGTAAACAGCTTTCAGTGCAGGTTAATTCAGGGCTATGAAGTCTAAAGTTCTACCTAAAAGTTGTAAGGGAAAGAAAATAAAAAGGTAAATTATAGAGGAGATATTTAATTGTCAATATTCAAATTGTCAAAATTGGTGTTACCTAGTCAGTTATGAAAATAGCACAGTTTAGCATGTAGCTATGTTGATTGATTAGAAATGTCTTTGTCATAAGAGAGGGTGGTAGGGGTGAGAGGAGGGCAAGGGTATAGGGAAAAAATGAGAACAAAGATCTGTCATGTAAAGGTACAAGATCCCAATGATGAATGTAACTATACTGTATACTTAAAAAGTACCAACAAACTCATTAAAAAGAAATGTGTTTGTCCATGTTGTACAGAAAGTCTCCTGGCTTGTGAATTTCCTACAGTATTTTTAGAAAGACTGGCAATCCCCACAAGTTCTATGTGTTCATTTTACAAAGAGACTCACTGGGGTGTATTTATTGTTGAATATTAGGAATTGCAAACTACCGCTTATGTTCAAAAATACAAATTTTAAGCAGGTTTTCCATATTATACAGAATATGATAAAGGTCTCTGGCCTCAAAATTATGCAAAATTGAAAGTACAATGTGTAGCAACCATTAACTGCTGAATATAAACACTGCTTCCCTTTGATGACTACAAACTCAAATTTAAAGCTTTTTCATTTGGATGACGAAGGGAGGAAATTCTCACTTTTGCCATTTCTTTTTCCTTATGATAAAAGATATGCCTGTTTTATTAAGAGATCTCAGATAATTTCATTTAATTACAGATCTTAAACCAGAAAACTGTTGTGCTCACATCAAGGTTTATGATCCTCAAGAATGATTAGAAAAGCAAAGGCCATTCTATTGTACTTAAACTACTGCAAGTAAGAGTGGAGAGAATAAAGAAGAGAGGAAGAGCAATCTCACTGGGGTGCCTGGAGGTGGGAACACACAGGGACTTAGTTTACTTCATTTTGTAAATAGGCACTACAAAGGCATGATTTCTAAATATATTTCAATTTCTTCATCAATCAAAAATAGGAATGAGTCTTCCAATTTTTATACACATCCTTCAAAAAGTTTTAAATGTTTTTTAAAAAGTCAAAATAAGCAGGAGCAACAAAAACTAGATTAACAATGACACCTCTCGGGAACTGGCGCAACAAGCTGAGTTCAGCATACCTACTAATCACAAGTTCTGTTACATAGTAATTGTTGCTTTAACTTTTTGAAACGTTTCAAAATGATTTTTTTTAAGTCAGACCTAGAAAGAGATCAATAGCCAGAGCAAGGCAGTTTTCTGAGGAGTTACATTCTCTTGTTGAACAGCAAACACAACTGCAAAACCTGCAAGCAACAGCTTACAACATGACTTGGGATAGCAGAGGCATAAACATTACCTCATTCATCAAAATCCCCAACTGTGCAGTGGTTCCTTGTTTACTTCTGTCATCAGGACAAAATAAGAGGTGTTCCATTGAAGATCTAGGTGATGGTCTTAGCAAACAACTTGCCAGTCAGTGTCAAGAAACAAATCCAGAACCATTTGGAAGTCAGTCAGCTATGACTATGTTTCATTTTTTTCCTTCAGCTACCAAAAAGAGAAATTTTTCTCTCTCCTTTGCTTACTGACTTCTTTCTCCCATTTCCACTCTTTCTAAGTCTGAGTATTATTTATTAACAACAAAATCACTTATAATGTACATGTAACATCATAACACTGATCTCAGATCACAAAGTCAGAAAATAAGCCAAAGCAAAGCATCTGCTCAGCACCTACTACCATCCAAAAAGGAGCAGCCCAACTCTGTCCTGGGTGGCTCTCAGTCTAAGACTCTGAATGAACACCTAAATTTAGAAAGGGTGGGGTCCAAAGGGATCCTTTTTTGAGTAAGGCTGTCTAAAGCAGACCTAATGCCAGCATTTCCAATTACAGGGATAAATGATAAATACATGAATTTTCTAAAAGTTGAAAAAGAAGCTTTTCATTACGATTGCTTCCAAAATGTTAACCACAAGTACACACAAAAGAGTTGTCTATTAACTGGTTAAAACAAGTAGTAAGAAACTGTAAATTTTTCAAAACATATAAATCCTCCAAGTAAAGCTATTTTGTAAACTTCAAATTTATAACATGGCCAATACTAAAATTCACCAAGCAGTAGACTAGGGGTATAGCTCAGGGGAAGAATGCTTGCCTAGCATACTTGAGGCCCTGGATTCAATTCCTACCCTGCAATTTATTTAAGAGTCACAAAGAGTACTCATTTGCCAATACATTTTTAGTCACTTGCTAGCTGAACACTTCTATGTGACTTGTTTAAGCTTGAAAAGACCATTTAAAGGAGTGGTTTTCAAGAGAGGTGTGTGGGGGGGTAATATCTGCTTGTATCTGGAGGTATTTTTTGGTTGTCACTGCCAGGATGGGAGAGGGCCCTACAGATATCCAGGACTGACATCATAGTTGTCAAAGGGGAAAATATATTGTTTACTCAATATAATTCAAAGAACAAAGCTTTCACTACTTCACTACAGTAGCGCCTGTAACCCTAGTAGTACTCTGGGAAGCTGAGGCAGAGAGATGGCAAATTCCAGCTCAGCCCCAGCAACTGAAGCAAGATCCTGTCTCAAAATAAAGTTTAAAAAAAAAAAATAAGGCGGGCAGTGGAGTGGTAGTGATAGGGGTGTTTGCTGGAAATACAGTTCAGCCCTGGGTTCAATTCCCAAGAAAGGGGAGGGATAGGGGCCTTTCACTATTGATAGAAAGTTCACAGCAGCCCTCAGCCAAATCAGGACTTAGAACTACTGGTTCTTAACAAATTTAAATCTGTTACACAACAGTTCTTTTTCTTTACAGTTGTTCTGAGGGTTACTTTCCATCAGGTAAATTAGGGACTAACTTGAGAGATCAAAATGTTTTGTTACAGGCTTCCTGGAGAAGAACAGAATTTTACACATAGTAAAACGAGGCCGAAAAGTTTGAAATACAAAGATCCTTCAGTTCTTGCTGGAAACACCTTTGGTTCTGAAGCCTTGAGCCATGCTGTCATCTCCCTGCTTCCCAGCAAATGGGGAACTTTTATTCTCCTAGTATTTCCTGTTTGAAGGGCTAAAGACACAAGCTCAGGAAAATATATTCCTCTTCCTCTCAAGATCTACTTTTTTGTTGCACACATATGCACTATAAAATTAAAAGAGGTGAAACGAGGGATTTGTATGTGCTTCTTTTAAGATTCCTTAATTTCAAATCCTCCTGGGTCCTAACACTGGCTTGGTGACACAAATATCTTTTCATGAAAACAAAATCTGTAGTTTTGCTCTAAAAGGCAAAGTGTGGTGGTATACACATGTAACCTCAGCTATTCAGAAGGCCGAGGCAGAAGGATCACAAAACTCAAGCCTAGTCTGAACAATTTAGTGAGATTCCGTCCTGAATTTTTGATTTATTTTTTTTTGAAAAACAGGGCTAGGGATATAACTCAGAGGGCAAACACTCTGGGCTCCATCCCCAGTACTACAAAAGCAAAACAAAACAAGTAACAAGTAACAATTTCACCTTGGCTGGCAGCTACCATTTTACAAGTGTCAAATATTTATGATGGGTTGTAGGGAAGGGAAACATGGGCACATGAACTCTACAAAAACTTTGTTTAACTTACACATGTCCTAAAAGTGTAGTAAAGCAAAATGTGTGTTCCTCACTCAGCAGTAAAACAAACAGGATCAGACCACATTGAGCACAAAGTCTGAGTGATTCAACACACAAGAAGGCGGATACTTCTAGAAATGGTTTACAGAACTACTTGTAATAGTGCTTAGTCATAGTCACTTTTTTGTTCTTGTCTGTGCTTTAAGACAGTGCCTCGCCTATATAGCTTAGGGTGACCTTGAACACACTATTAGCCCAGACTGGTAAGTGATCCTCCTGCTTCAGTCTCCCAAGTACTGGGATTACAGGTGTGCTCCACCAAGCCCGTCTTGTATTCACTTTTGACTAAGTCTACAAAATCTTTATAGCGTAAAACAACTACTCAAGGTTTTGTTCTGTTTTTGTAGAGGTGGGATTGAATCCAAGGCCTCACACTTGCTAAGAGAACACTCTACCACTGAGATACATTCCCACCCCATTTTTAGTTTTTGAGCCAGTCTCACTGAGTTGCCAGGCTAACCTCAAATTTGCAATCACCCTGCTTTAGCCTCCTAACCAACTGGAGTTACCGACATGCACCACCACGCTTGGCTGTTATTTAAGCACTTTTAGTAACTAATTTTTAAACACTGTACTAGCACCTGATTCGTAATGTAGTATTTATACTTCTGTGAGATTAATACATCATTCTCCTTGCAAAAAGTGGTACTTGCAAACAAAATTTCTTGAAAATGGTGGGAGAGAATATAGTAAGCGATCTCAATTCTGGAAAAACTTCCTTTTCAAATCATAACAAATATTTCACTAAATACCTTCCCTTGCAAATCCTCCAGTAAATCTCAAGAAACAAAAGACCCAGAGAGAAAGAACCACTCTAGTTTCTTGCCATGATAAAGCACTAGCAATACCAACTGCAATTTTACAATATATTCCTTCATTCAATATTCAACAATAATTTATTATGCATCTATAACATGTGAACCATAAATGGCAAACTGTACATTCCCAAATTCGGTAATGAATCTATTTGTTCAACAAAGATGCTTTCTTAATACAAACACAAAAATACTTATCACTTCACCAGCTTGTTAAGTGCACAGGTCATGCTAATTAAACCTATCACTCCTATTTCAGTATATGTGTTGCTGAAGCAAGCACTATTTGTTAAACTTTCCATCAAAAATAAGAGGGAAAAAAAATGAGAGAGCTTTAACCAACCAACTGTAAATCTACTCATCTGTTCCTTTTAGTTTTTAAGAGGCTCCAGTCCCACAGAAACTCGGTCAATTTTCCTACAATGTAAAGCCCTTTCCACTACCCTTGAAATGGCCCTAAAATACCACACATTCCTTATATAACTTAAGACCCTTTTCTGATACACCTTTCTAGGT